CCTTCATACTGTCATTTCCAGCCCCGGCTGAATGTGCCGCGCTGCTCTGGGTAATTATACCATTGGATAAGAAGTGTCAAAAGGGCAAATCAGAAAGGGCAACAGGTCTCACTGTCACTGTCACCAGCAGGGTTGGAAGGATAAATGTTATATACATTTGAATATGTTAAACTCTTCTGAAAAGAAACCATGATTTCAGGATTCCTTATTTGTGTTGATGTTTACTGTTATAAAGATACACAAAGTACATTTAATATTTATGTACTGTGTAAGTATTGTGAAGGTTAGTGAGGTAAAGTCATGTTATGGGCAGAGATGGTAATCTGACCTCAAGGGCTAAGACCCTAATCCTAAAGGTCAAGATCATCTATGAATAATGGAACGTGAACTACATTCATGGTAAACCGTACATAGCAATCTGAATTTTTTACTTACTTTTGCATAAAGTACAAATTAAACTTTTTTTTATTTCTAGGGTTAGTTTTTGTTTCCAAAAATTCTATTAGGCAGAAAGTATTATTTGTAATTATTTATCCAATCCACTTTAGTGAAGCTAACATGGCTAACATAGCTTGGTTCCACGTCGGTTCTTTATCAACAGTGACTTATGGCCTAAATTCTGGTGTCCAAAAAACAAACTGAACTAAATATTTGGGTTCTGCTTGTACAAAGTGCAGCTTCATTTCCTTGATACGCAGCATTTCCACAATGCCAAACGGCACATTATTGGACGGCCTGCACAAAGTTGTATATGTAATCTCAGAGAAAATCTGTGTAGTTAGTAGTCTGGAGCAGTAGACCATCAAATCTGTAAACGCTTGGGAAATTTGCCAAATAAATAATGGTGTTAGACACCTGGGGCGACTCCACTAAAGACTTGTTGAAAGTACTCTGTACAACTGCAGTCTGTTCCGCAGCGGTGTGGTACTGTCAGTATATTCCGTTGGTAGGATCATAGAGTTTATCATTTCAATGTTTCCATAATCAGGGATATGTGCGGGAGTTTAGTTTTCATAATAGTTGTTTGCTGATGTATTGCTGATGTTATCATTGTCAACACAGCTGAAAGATGATGTCACTGATGATGTTCACCTGCCTTTTCAACCCCAGAGACATTTGAGTAGCTGTCACTTGTGGAGTCACATGATCGCAGCCGTCAGTCAAGATGCGTATATATATATATACATATATACAGTATATATATATATAATTTGGATTAATATGATTATTATACATAATTATTATTATTTGAACAATTATTCAACATTTCAAGTGACCCAATTTGAATTCCAGGCGACCACACATGGGATTGCCACCCCTTGGTTGAAAAACACCAGTCTAACCAACCCTACTATTACACATTTTTGCAAATTTGCATCTTGGCACTTAGATCCTGATTTTCTTTGATGCAGAAAAATCCGTCAAATTGGATTTTTCAAAAAGGTTTTTCATCCTCCTGTTTTCATTTTCATCTCAAAATTTGCTTTCATAAAAACAAACCTCCAAACACAGGAATACCTCTTGCCGAGTGCGTCAATTCCAAGTCCTTTTATTTAAAAAGACATAAATATTGATCAAGACAATTAGAGTCTCTGTGCACCGTATAACAGTGATGTAGTTTTGTGCTCAGTCAGGAGCTCAGACCTGGCGTTGACAGCTCTGCACATTTCTGCCCCACTGCTTTGTTCTTCCTCTATTTCCTTCTTGTACGCTGCGGGACCCCCGGTGGCCGTTTGCCGGCTTTAACAACACCAGCCCGTGTTCTAGAATTGACATCGACATCATCTAGAACTTCACCTGCAACATGAACAACAAAGACTGAACATCAGATTTAGGTGACATGATACTTGTGTCTCTGTCCCGTGCACTGTACCTGTGTGCCGAAATGTCCAAAGACTTGCGTCTGTTTGCTTTGAGTCCACTTTGACAACTCTACCCCACCTAGCCACCACCCAAGATCGCATTAGTTCTACAATGATGTCAAATGTGAATTGTCCTACGAAAGTGTAATGGAGACATTAGAATAAGTAGGTTAAAAAGTTTAGAGTCTCTCAGACGTCTTAAGTAGATTTGCCAAGTTTGTTCACTATATCTTGTTTCATTTTTTTGTTGGGGTTTTCGACCCTGAAAATGTTGGAGCAAATATCACATTTATAAACCTGGCTTGGATGCTGTTACTTTTTAGTTTTTAACTCAGTGGCTTCCTGACAAATAGATTCCTGTGGATAGGTTGATCACTGAATAAAAAAAAATCTAAACCTGCTGCCAAGATTAAATTAGCAACTGTAAATGCATTGAATGGTGATGTGCCATAAGAAGTGATGCAGTTCAACAAAATATACTGACATAAAATCCCTGAGCTACTGTCCACCAACTGCACAGTGCCAGCAGTATCTACTGTATTATACACAAAGATACACAGAGTGAGAGTACCCGAGTGCGTAGGAGGCACTGGACAAATGTTGCTACTTTTCTAAAAGTTAACGTTGCTTGAGTTTTTCTCTTTTATTTTCACCTGCGTCCGTTCTGTTCTGCGTCCAAACCCCGCTTGATGCAACCCCCCAGTAATTCACTGTGCGGCTGCATAATGATTCCGTGATTATGAAAACATATTCCCACTGAGTCATCCCAACAAGGCAGTGTTCCTCCACGACACAGATAGAGTCACTGTGTTTTGACACCTTCACAGAAAGATGTGGTGTTTGCATTTGTGCCTTAGTGTGTGTGTGCGTGTGTGTGTGGGTGGGGAGAGTTGTTAGAAGATTCTGAGTGACTCATAGCATTGCCTTCTGATTGGTAGCGATGCTCAAATTTGGTTTTAAGTTTCCTAAGGTAAGCAGCGGAGAGGTGGCGTGCGGCGTTGCTGAAAAAAGAAGAAAAGCTTTGTGAAGTTATTGCAGACGCTAAGAGGTACTTTGTGTCACGATGCGCGCTGCTGTCTGGGTACTACCTAGGCTGTAATTACCCAAGTTTTTTGTGTGTTTGCAACCAAAGTGAGAATAAAGAACAACAAAACATGAGGATTTATGCTGGACGGATGGGTGCCAAATATCCCATATGTCTTACCTGAGGATGATTGCTGGCTGTAGGCTTTTAAACATGTAGTAGAAAAATTATTTTGGCTGACCGAGCTGGACATTTTAAGATCCAATACACAGTTGTGCTCTGCTGTCCAGTTGATAGAGGCTTCATGGGAAATGTTTTCCCTCCGTCTGTGATAGGCGTCACACGTCACTTGGCAGCACTTTGCTGGATGAGTTTGTGCGTGTTTTGTTTTATATTTTTTATCACATTTTTTATGAAGTTGCTGAGTCTTCGCTGGGTGTTGGTTGTTACCCAGGGATTCACGCGTCCCTACTACATTCCTCTCCCTGTCTTCCTTTCCTTTATTTAGTTTTTCCTTCGTCCCCATCACAGGTCTCAGTACATGTGCAGGCTTGGGGACGTGGTGATGTCTGCAGCCCAGAAGATAAGGACACGTTCCAATAATTTCAGGGTTTAAGCCCAAATCGTCTTTTTCTTTCTGCTGTTCCCTCACCCTGGAAAGGCAGAGAAATACAATTACTGCGGTGACGGCAGTAAATAAAATAAATATTGATTATTAGAAACTAGCATAGCTGAGAACAACTGGACCTTCAGGTGAACTCAACATTTTAATTTAACCAGCAGGATGAATGGATCTACAGTATAGCCAGCCAACCTGCATATCAAGTACAGCATCCACTTCAAGCCATGTCTTTTTAATGAGGCTTCTCATTCATCAGCAGCCTGTCAGCGTTATACACATTGTCCAGTAAGACCTGGAACATTTACAGTAACGGAGATGACCTGGTAGATCCTGGTGTCAGTGCAGCAGATGGTCTACGGACCTGGTCAGGACCTGGCTTAAATGTGAACCTCTCAGTTACCCGCCAGCTGATGACATACAGTATGGAGACTTTAAAATCTGAGATGATTTGTAACATTACACTGACTTACTGGAAACTAGGGCTTTTGCAGTGAACGCATTAATTGTGTGAATTAATTGGTGAACAATTTCACTTGCTTTAATGCATTTCCCTTGCTCTAACACAGGGTCAATGTTTTTCTTTATTTTTTAAAGGCAAAAGATTCTCTGCAAAATCATACTTTTCTAACTCATGTCTTGCTAATTTGTGTTTTTATGATGATAAACATCAAGTTCCTGAAGATCTATACTAGTACCTATGCTAGTTTGGGCACCTTTCTTTGGTGATGATGAACCTGTGTATGGTCTCTCTCATCATTCTCTCAGCGGCATCATTTGTGTGTATTCTGTACCTGTGACTTGTCTTGCTCTGTGTGTGTCCACCGTCTACTCTCTGCGGCGGCTCCGGCGCATGTCGACCTCGGCCGAACTTCTCCTCCACCTCCTCCGCTCTGCTCCAAATGATCTTGCACACGCGATCAAAGTCGTCCCGTGGGTAACTCCAGGCCGAGGAGACGTCCATGAAGTGCTTGGTTGTTTGCATGTCGAAATATTTAATTTTCACATATTTCCTCTCGACTTTCCTCCCTTTACTTCTTCTCTGGCATTTTACTGTCGGCGCTGACATCTGCTTGCTGTTTTGTTCTTTGCACACATTAGATATACATCAAAATCACACCCAGGCCTGAATTATGCAACAGACAGAACTAATGAAAGACATTAAAGGATTATTGCCCAACTACATTTGAAGAGAAAGAAAGTGCACAAAAGTCAATGCAACTTAAAAAGACATTAAAGGACAGAGTGAAAACAGCATCAGAACCAAACTTTGAGTCTTGGGAGATACGTACCGTCAGCTCCTTCCTGAACCACTTATGGAGAAGGGATAGAAACATGGATATCGTCCTAATTCTTTGGACTGGAGTTGATGTCACTAGTCGCTGTGGTCGAGCAACAGGACAGGTCTATGAGGAGACCATCTGTCCCACTTCTGTGTCAATGGACCAAATCCTGTCCTCTGGATCTTGTCTTTAAAATCCTTCCTATAATTCTGGAAAATTAGCTTCTAGAACATAAAGAACTTTGGCTGGAAAACCCTAGGGCTTTAGGTGTGTATCTAAGGATATGCACTAAGTTATTGACCAAGTGTACAGTAATACTGCCTCCACAAGGTGGGAGGTAGTGATGCAAAAAAAAAAAAAAAACAAACATTTTTTTCTCAGTCCCAGTCATCCAAAACTTGAGTTGCTTCCCATAGGCAGGAATGTTAATATTTAGAATGTTTTTAGAAGATTTAAAATTTTAAATGATCTCACTACAAAGTGAATATTTAAGTGTTCTAACAGCACTAAGGCAGTCCTATTGCCAAAATGGCTCTGTTTTTGGATCTCTGCACTATAGCTGATCATTCCATGTTTTTACAATCACATATATACCTCTCTCCTCTGCCTTCTTCTGCCCTTTCCTCTCTGAAAATAAAAACAAGTTGATCTTTAGTTTTTAACTGCAGCTGGCAGACTTTGAGCTCTAACTTCTTCGTAATAGGTTTATCTTACTCTGTTGAACATTTTCACCCAGAATCTTTCTGACCTCCTGCACAGGGAAAATAAAATGAGAAAATGGAGACAGACGATATATTCCCTGCTAATGGATACACTGACTATGGGCCAATAAAGAGGATCGAAGGAATTCGTTTTTCTGTTAACATCCTGACTACTTAATGAGATACTTTGGAACATTGTTGACACTTTCCGAGTCAAGTCTGGCCACAGCAGACGGGTGAGAGAGGTCGTGAACCCTTGTACCATTTCATGGGTTTATCTGTTTGACTTTTGCATCTTGCACCAATAAACAAAGATGTCCATGACTGTTAAAGTCTTCCTCATCTACTGAACATGAACTGTAGCAGTAGCTGTAAAGATGCTGACTTGGTGGTTACCATGGAAATGACAAGAAGCAATTATTGGTCAGTCCTGTATCTTGGAGGTCATATCCTCAATCACAGAACCAAGAACGTGGAGTATAGGCCGCTGGGCTGTACAACTTAATCCTCCTAAAACAACAGGATTATGAGGGCAAGAGTCAAGAGCCTGGGTGATGGGGTCAGTGCCCCTCCCACCTCTGCCTTATTGTGCTCGGATTGACTGTCTCCCTGAAGTGTGCATTACTTAAAACTAATTGTATCAGTCATATGCAAAGGCAGAAATGTCATTGGGTTTTACTGGAGAGAGTTCCAGCCTGTTAAACATCAATTTCACGTTTATTGAGCATGAAGTGGACATTTATGTTAAGCCGCTGGGCACTCCAATGATAGATCGTAATGGATGGATTATTATTATTATTATTATTAATATTATTATATGGATATAATTATTCCTCGTATGCATCTTTGGGATAGTTGTCTCACAGGGAATGGGTAGGTTGGAAATGTGGGCATTTAATAGTCAACAGAGAGAGGGGGTGAGGGAGAGAAACAGAGTGGGAGAGAGAGAGAGAGGGGGGGGGGGAAGAGAGAGAGAGACGCGCAGGGAAGCAGCAGAGCTGCAGTCTGAATCTTGGCGTTGCACAGACCCAAGACAACGCGGTGGTGAGGCGCTGCGAAACCGGGGACTACGTGCACAGCCTGCTGCACATTTTCTCTCTCTGCACAAGACACGGCGTATTTACCCAGCTGATTTCTTCGAGATCTGGATATCCTCCCGTCACATTTACGCATCAAATGCCGATTTAAGCCTGGATTATCAGCATCACAGCTGCTGTTATTAACTGGATATTTGTGTATATATTCCAGAGAAGGACATACTGTATAAGTGCTGCGGAATAAACTGGAGAAAGGCTCTGTATTTGTTTCCAGGTGTTTTTTCTTTTTTTTTTTTTTTCTCCATCCTTCACATGTGTGCGGCGGACGTGGGATTGCAGAGTTTTTACGCGTGAGAGGCAAATCAGTGGCCACTTTATTCTCCGTCTCCCCTTTGGTTGTTTCCCCTCCTTCCCCTCGTTTATAGGTGTGAAATCTATCTTCTCAGACAGAGACTCTAAACCCCTCGGTCCCCACATGACATGGTTCAGTCCAGCCCCGAGATCCGAGCCTCCTCAATGCATTGGGATTTTTCTCAGCGCCGACACCAAGTGAATCTCCCTTTTCTGACCATCTGAGAACTATTGTGCCCGGAGACCAGCGGAGAAACCAGCCCTGCCATGACCGCCGCTTCAAATCAGGACAGAACACCCGGACTTGCCAGGAGACCGGAATGCGCACACAGAAAAGAGGACGGGATACGGATTTTTGCTCTAATGAAGGCGGGAGTGCAGGTGCACAGTTGGAGCCGGGTGCTGTTCTTATACATGGGACTGCTGGTCGCTTCAGTGAAGGGTAGGTCCGCGTCTGTGCAGCTGAAAAGATGGGAAAATGCAGCAGGTTCACCCCGCTCTCCCACCGCCCATCCTGCTAGATCCCAGACTGAATGCAAATCAGAATAAGGAATACACAGACACACGCACATTAGTACCCCCCCCCCACACACACACACACACTCACACACACAAATCTCCAAACACTCATACATACATATTCAGCAGCAGATCCTCTTTGTGGTGATTTTTTTTGCAGTATTCCAAGTTAATAATAGAGTAAATGTGGCTGCTTGGTGTTTTAATGTTGATCTTCAGTCTCAACTGGGATTTTCCCACTATCCTCCACTGTGGTGCTGCCTGTCATTGAATGTGTGTCTGTGTGTGTGTGAAAGAGAGAGAGAGCGAGAGAGAGAGAGGGCTTTAAGGAGCAGAGGTAAATGAAGTGTGTGGATGCTTAAATAAGCTTTCCAAGGATGTTTCCCTAATCCCTTTGAACAGACGACGGTTGGTGCAGCAGCATGTTCTGATCTCATGGAGTGGTCAAACAGGCGGTGCTTTATTATGCAGCTCAGAGTCCATCAGTGCGTCGGTGCTGATTTCTCCTTCCATTATACCCACACACACGTTATCCTTCTTTGTATTTAAAGAATGACAACAATGTTTTTTTGTTGTGTGTGTGTGTGAAGTCGCGTGCACCAACTCTGGCTTTCCTGTCGTTAATTGCACATGCACATGACATTCAACAGATTGATTCAAAAGCAGTTGATTGGCTCCTCTCATCACTGGATCCTTGCGTTTGACAAATGTGTCTGGAAGCGTTTGCATTTCTTAGAGTCTAAGATTTTTTTTTTTTTTTTATTTATTTATTTATTTTTTTTTTTGGAAAAGAGCCGCAGTCCTTTATTTCTTTATTTAATTGTTACCATCCTTAACAGGTCCTACCTCTGGCAGAGAAAGCCAGCCGTTTTATCACTGTCTGCTGGCTCCACTGCCCCCAAAGTGCGTAATGGTAACTATTTTTAGCAAAAGCCAGGAATACTGCCACGACCACAATGTGAATTTGACAGCGGATCGTGGCACTGAGCTCGCCCACTCGCTCCTTTTGGGGAGGATAGCACGCGATCCAGCAAATTAGGAGTAGGCTTATTTTATCTGCATCACCAAAAGCCACAGTGGGGGCCACATGAGCTCGGCGTGAATGTGTTTCCATCTCTCCAACGGAAGCAGCTCTCAACGTCTCCCACCACCGAACTCCCACATTGCAATTCTCTTTTAGAATAAACTTGTGTCGTCAACCACCCACATGGTTTCGGTAAGAACCCACACTCGGCTCAGTCCACATGAAACTCTCCCCCTTTGACATTCCTCGGGAGTAAATCTCACAGCAGCCTTTATTCGTGGGAGGCTTGTTTTATTCGCGTTCGGGGAGCTTTTTTTTTTTTTTTTTTTTTTTTTTTTAACTGCGCAGTCTCTTGCCATTTGAGCTTGATTCTAGAGCCAGTAAACCGACTTTAACTTATTGCACAGATCTCCAAACAGCACAGGGGGGAAGCTTGACTGAGTGTTTGGTCCGTGCAATAACCTTAAACGGTGCCAATAAATATGTTTCAGCCTTAAACCCAGGCGCTGAGGGGGATCTGCGTGTCCCGTCGATAGTGCTGCCACTAGCAGTTGCCCCGTCTTCCCATTGAGCGGCACCAGAGTCTCACACTGTGGTTGAAGAGAACCAGAGTGGGACAAATGATACCTGGGGTTCGTGACATTTACTCTCCCCCACTGTGCCTTAAAGCGGGTCCGGCCAATTATCAATGGCTGCAGCATGTGAGCTGTTGCACAGTCCTTCTTTCGCGTTGTCTGATCAGCACCATATGCGACCAGAGCGCTTTCACACGGTCGACATTTGTCAACATTTCTCGCTTTAAACGGTTTTCTAACCACCCCTTTAACCTTATTATAGTTCCCAAGGGCCACACAGGCGAGCATAGAGATGTGTGTGAGAGAGGCTTGTTGAAAAGAGGAGATCTGAGGAGAGCAGTGCGCTGTTTCCAGGGGATCAAAGTCGCCTGTCCCAGTGGAGCCGTAGCTCAATAAGCGGTAATCAACCTCTATTCCATTAAACGCACCGAGGAGAGAATGAAAAGGCCAAAAAGGGACATTCAAAGAGGGGTGGAGGGGCAATAGAGGTGGCATGTCTTTCCCGTGTGCTGCATCCACCCCACACCCACACCTCACCCCTGCGCTCCAGCTTCACCGCTATTAGATCATTCGTCAGCGGCGCATGAGACTGTCTCTCAACACGTCCATTTACAAGCGAGACGACGCTTGGTCGTCCTCTCCTCTCAGCCGCGCTCTCCCTCATGTAAAGACGCGGCATTGTGCTCATGATGAAACTTGCAGCAATGTTATGAGGACTGCATATGCCTGATGCTGCTTAGCTTTTTTTAATTTATTTATTACTTTGTGGCACCCGGGGGAGAAATGATCGAGAGAGATATGGTGGTAGTGCGTTTTTATTCAGTGACGCAGCATTGCAAGGGGGGGTTGGGAGGGATCTTCAGGAAAAGTGGTTCTTGAAGAAGAAATGTTTGAAAATTGTAATCAAGGAAACCATTGTATGTAGAGATTGTCGTGAATTTTAAAAAGAGCGTCATTCGAGGATTCCTGGTGCTGAAACAGTGTTCAGCACCACGGACAGCTCTCCTGTCCTCACAGCTTCACATCAGTGGAGGACTGGCTGCCTCATCAAATACAGAGATATCATGCCATTAGTCATTCTCTGTGTTGTTTGTTTAATGAGTTAGCATGAGCAGAAAATGCCTGCCAGGCCACAGAGCCATCTTTTTGAAGGGAATACAAGCACTTTTCCAGACCTGTTGTTTACAAACAACAACCCTTCAGTCCCCTGCTGGTTTGACTTGCACAGATGCAATGGAACTTTTTTTTTTTGTTTGTTTGTTTTTTTTTTTCCTCACAAACTTTACATTTAGACCATCAATTGCTCACAAAAAAAGGCATTTGGACCTTGAGAAAGGCACATTAGAGCATATTAGTGCTCAGTGCACCACCAGAATGTTAACGGAGCAACCTAACATGTTCCACTTCAAACTGCCATTTTTAAAAATGGAAACCAGTCTCACCTACTGGGTTTATGGTTTACAATGACGATGTCACACAGAATCACTCAGACCTCCTGCAAACAAAATGGATGGTGAGAAAATACAGAGAATAGTATGATCATAAATTCTCATCATCAAAATGCTATAAACGTTATAAAGTGGCCCTTTAAACATGGCTGATGTGATTAATTAAAGATGATTCTCTGATTTATTTTTTATTTAATTATATGCACTTATATTTTTAGGATGTGCCCGAGTTTTTAATGTCTCATTACTCTACCTTGGATATTAGGAGACATCAAGCAGCCTATGTTGTCAAAGGAAGCCGTGCTTATTAAGACCCTGTTAGGTGGTGATTTTAACACAACTGCTCTTCATATTATCCATATGTCGAAGGTGCATTTCTCTCTTTTTACCCCTTTCTGTCTACCTGCTACTCTCGGTTTGAAATACGACTCCGCCTGCATTGCCTGTTGAATCCCTTCTCCCATCTGCTCTCCATTTTCACAGTTGGGCAATAATGTAAGAAATAGGATATGAGGAAAATGGCATTCCCTATTAACTAAAAACTAGAAAACATGTTCTGGAAAGGCGCTTTCGCAGCCGTTGAAATGAGCAAGGTTGTGAATTGAGAATACGGTGGTGGTCACAAAAAATAAAGGCATTCAATATGAGCGCCACAGCCAGGATTTTTTGAAACGGCAATGGGATGCAAATGAGTGTGGAAGGTAATAGGAGGCAGAGGAGCGAGACAACTGTTGAAGTGGAGTGGTGATAAGCTTACACCAGCTGAGAGATAATCTGAGCCCTCCTTTTGAGTACTGGTTGATTTTTCTCTCTTTAGTAAATGACCTATTTGCGGGGCTCATTCTTCTTATCAGCCATCAACCAGACTCCCATTCCGACATCTAACAGCATGTAAATAAGCCGGTTGTGAGCACATGTATGGGCGTGTTTTGAAGAGGCCGTGAGTTGATACCCCATTCACTGGAGGATGATTAGCTTAAAGTGTTGACAAGCAGGTCATTAGCTTTCCCCGAAGAAGCCACAGAGGGACCAATGCACGAGTATGCACATACTAGCGTGCACATGCATAAGGTATTTTGTCCTCATCAGCAACTTAAACTTTACCTCCTACCTGCCGCATGTCATCCTCTTCCCATCCCCGGTTTCTTCTTGAACCTTCCATCTCCCTCTGCCCTCTTCCCTTTCATGACCTTATCCTCCTTCCTCCCTCCCCACAGTGGTGATTCACACCATCAGCCTCCAGATGGACAGAACGCTCTCAGTGCCTCGTTGCGATGATCACATTCAAACTAGCACCTTCTCATAACACAAGCTGATTCATTAGACCCTCTGAACTGAACTGAGATGCACATGTGCAGATTTCACTGATTAAAGAGCTGCTCAGTAGAATGATGGGGAACGTCCAATTCATTTCCAATGAATTTTATCTGCCTTCTCTGCTCTTTCATCAATTATACATGAACATGCTCCCACTCCCGTATCATCACATGTGGACATTTGGTCTGAACTTCTCACTGCCCCACTTTATTACCTTGGATATCAATATTGCAGGATGTTTAAAAGTGCAGAGGCAATGAGAGAGAATGTGAGAGTCAACCAGAATGTAAGGCCACTGTCTAATGATATACAGTATATTGAACACGGCCATGTTGGGGTTTCAAAGTCATACCATTCGACTGGTCAATTTCTACAAAATAATGCCTGTTGAATAGGGTTTCTGTAGGTGGTAGTTTCATAGCTGAAGTGGGAGCTGTACAGTGGGTCTTTGATTTATGTCGATGTTCTGTTCCTAGCGGCAACTTAACTCGATTTTGTGCTGTAAGTCCAAACTTAGGAGGCTGCTGTTAACTTTTATATATCGTCCTCTACAATTTGG